AATATGCAACTTGTATTTGCATAAAACCAATAAAGCATGAAAATATGGGTTAAAATTGCAACACAAAAATTTTAAATCAGGTTAATTGAAACCCAAGAGGCAATTTCAAGGGGTTTTAGTAAAATTTATAAAAATATTTCCTGGTTCCTTTAAAGAAAATTTAAATACCTGCATGAAGAAAGTTGAAAAAAGTGGCCAGATGTATGGACAGGTTGATATTGTCTTAAACAAGTTTTTCCATCAAAATTAGGAACAAAATACAATACAGCCAAGATTTAAGCTGAAAGTTTTTCAGTGCAGTGGTTAAAGGTTGGTTTACGCTCGTGCCGCATTTCAACAAAGTGAATTTGATGCTCTGAAACATTTATGAAATCAGCTTCATCGGAAATGTTTCAAACTTCATGATCACATCAGCATTTCAACTTGTCTGAACTGTCTCCAAGTCTGCTCGCATCATTTGACGGGAAATTTTTGAAAATGTCACCCCCAATTTTGTCGGGAAAAGTGTCGGATATTTTTGTAAAAACTTTTGCAATGCTAGAGTTGTATGAAATAAACTTCATGTAATCCCCAGAAGTGAAAAGGGGCAATTTATAGAGCATCTGCCTTGTTGGGTATGTAGAAAAGGCACAGCCGAGTGTTTTCTTTAGGAAATATTTTGGCCTTTCTGTGGAATGACAATTGCAAGACAAAGGGTGCAGCAAACAGAATGCCCGTCAGCCAAAGATTTCCAAACAAAATGTTTTTCACTTGTACGCTGCATCACGTCTGGAAGGCAATTGACGTTTGAGACACATGAACAACAAAGATGTTTAAGCCCCCCCCTCCATTACAGCACACTGGTCCCCCGTTAAGTGCCTCTTTTCTGGTGGGCTAACTTCTTGAAAAAAACACCATACACAAAGTAATGAAACTTGTTAGCAAATTTGTCCTTTTTTTTAATTGAAATAGGCATTAGACACTCGGTCTTTCACATGTAGTAAACGGATTCTATTAACAAAGTACCTTTTTTGTTGTGACTTTTTTTACAATACTAAATGTGCAACCATTTACACTTATACAATAAACAAAGTACATGTACTTGAACCCCTTCACAGCCAGACACAAATAAACCTGGATTTTGTGGTCCATCTTCAGTGGTCGAAAGAAAAAGGCTTCATATTCTTCACAATAAAATTCACACCCCATGTTCCTCGACCACAATTCTCCAAATGGACAGTTGACAAAAATGAAAAAAGAAAAACCAAAAAAACTCAACTTTCTTTTTAAATTCAAAGTAACCTTAAACAGCTCAAATTCCAGCGCAAAATTAAAGTTCCCCACACACAGGAGACAAGGAGGATTTAGCCTATCAAAGAAACACCTCCTTAGGAACTTGAGATCAAAGTAGCCCTTTAAAAACTATAACCTTTCATTACAGATAGGCATCATTCCAAGTACAAATTCTAATTACATGTTTATGTATTAAGATCATTTTACACTTTTCTCTCGACCGTCAATAACCACAAGAGGTTAGTCTGAAATTAATTCATACATAGTCACTGTTTTTTCCTATTTTCTTGCTCTCTGGCTATTAAAAAAAAAACCTAGTTCAAGGATGATCTTTCCCAAAGCTTTTTAAAACTATTAAAAAACTTGTGACAAGAATACAATTTTTTGCCTGGTTGTAACATAGGACAACCAGAAACTGCAACTTCCCAAGGATTAAAAAAAGGGGAAAAAATCACCAGTTTTTTATGTGCAAATGCAACCACTTGCTAAAGTTCAAATTTGGTTTGTTTATAAAGGGACTGACCCCTACCCCACCAACCTGGACATCCTCACGGAAAAAGCGCAAGATGAGAAAAAAATCCAGGGATTGTCACAGGCTATTTGGTGGGTGGAGGAAGGGCATAATCTTTTCTCTTCTTTTTTTTAATCAGTTTGAAAAATGAGAGTTAACGAGAACAAATGCAGACAATGCGATGGCGAGAGGTAGCTAAGGAATTCTTAAATCTTTGATCTGTATGACCATCCAGGAGCATGATGAACAGAGAGCGACTTCTTCGGAAAGTTTAATCCCAAAATAATTACATTTGATGGGACCAAAAATCAAGGCTACTTTTTAACACAATGAAACATTTAAATGGATACATTCAGGCACTTCTTGCGTGGAGACAACCCGTCATCACCTCCGCCTCCGGTCTCGCGACCGACTGTGGCCACCGGAATCCCTCTTTCCACCTTTCCGTGAACGCTCCCTGGAGTGTGATCGCTGTCGTCGCTGCTTCGACTTGCTCCCGGAGTTCCGGCCAGGGCTGTCCTTGTAGTCGTACTTGTCACGCCGTATCGGCGAGCGGCTGCGTGAGCGGCTCCGGCTGTTATCCCGTGATGACGACCGGCTGTGCTTACGCTTGCGCGACCGCGACTTGGCCTTGGCATACTTGCGGTCGTGCTCCCGGTCGTGGTCGCGGTCCCGTTCCCGGTCGCGATCTCGCCGGCTCCGCTTGTGCTCGTCTTTCTTCTTGTGGTGCTTGCCACCGGCGTGGCTACCGTAGTGCTTGTCATTGTGCGGGGAGCGGCTAGGGCTACGGCTGCCACTGCTACTGCGGCTGCGTGAGGAGTGGGACCGGCTGCGGCCATGCCCTCCCCGCCGAGGACTCTTGGAGTGGCTGCGACTATTGGAGGTGCGGGTCTTGGAACGACGGGCCACTTTGCCATTGCGTTCTTTGTGGCTACAATAAAAAAAACAGACCAAAACAGCCTGTTACTACCATCAAACAAAAACAGTAAAACTCTTTTCAGCACTTCAGACAGGATACGAATTGACGTAACTACTGTAGAACAGGCCAATCATACAAGCAGTTAGGAAAACAATACACGTGTTCGCATTTTCTTACGGAAAAAATTGCATTGTCATGCTTGTACTGAGCACTTGACGGCTCGCAAAACATTTATGGATGCTCGTAAACAGAAACTTGGATTCATATAAACACATTTACTAAATTTCAATATTTCCTTCTCTTTTTGGGGGTCGAGGGAGTGGTTGCAAATGAGGGAGGATCAAAAGGACCGATGACGGGGCAGAACCTAAAGGCAGGAGCCTCCTGGTAGCTTCTAGTCCCACCAGAGAGGGGGAGGCACCTTACCTGCTCTGGCCGCTGCCTCCTGATGCTGGCTCCTCCTTCAGGCGGTGGGGATTGTAGGAGTTAGGAAGGCCAGGCGAGTCCGCACTCACCTTTGGTGAGGCTAAAGGTTGAAGGTACACAAACACAAAAATTGGCTCTTAACATTTTTCTTGGAATTGTGGCCAACGCTGATTTCACATGAGCATGGACTATGAGTGTATGACGTGATGGTGACTTACAGGAATGGGGCGAGGTGCAAAGTTTCTGTGGAAGAGTGACCTTATTTGATATTCGAGACCTACCAGCAGGGCAAAAAATGGCGATTTTTTCACAAGCCGAATGGTAAGAAAATTTCAAAAGTTCCAAAATCCTGTTATAACAGCCGACAGCTTCTTGTGTATATTCTGTACATGTATCTGCCTCTGTCTCCGATTCTGCCTCTCAAGCACCTTCCAACTTGAACGAACGCAAAAATAAAAACTGAACAATTCTCAGACTGCACAAGAATGTAGCTTGGACCTCGGACGACCACTGGGATGTTCACTTTAAATTCTGAGAGACTTGTCGCAAAAAACGAAAGGAAGGGAAAGGAAAAGAAAGGAGGGTGGAGCGAGTATGATGTGTGTTTCATGGATTCAAAGGATGATCTGTGACAACAGCGAAAATTGCCAGGGACCAGCGTTCAAAACACACGAAACTTTTCCTTTTCCACACACGACACGCCGGAGACTGTTACTGAGCAAAACCACCCGGCTGACTTGATGTGGAACGAAGCTTGCAGGTGCTTTCGACAGCACAAAAATTGACTGCCGCATACGGTGAACAGTCAAACCTTGTTAAACAAGAGTACTGTTTATACAAAATCCTGCTTTTATGTCCCAATCTTTCGTTTTCAGTCCCCATAATACAAGGTTCCAGAAATAACAGGGTCAGCTGCGAAATCCAATGGACCGCTTTATTAACGAGGTTCGACTGTATTTGGCAGACATCTGCTTCAGTTTTTTTTTTTGGGGGGGGGGAAACTACCTGGCAGTTTAGAGGGTTGATGAGGTTTTTGGGGGGGAGGGGAGCCCTACCTTGTCTGGAAGAGTGAGGAGAGAAGTTGTTCGGCGTGCCGGCTGCGTTGTTGACCTCCGACTGCCCCTTTAACTTGGCAAATTTGGCCTCCTGCATGGCCAGGCGGCACCGTTCCACAACCCTGTCCAGCTCTTCATAGGTTTTCTGCAGACAGAGAAAAAGGAAGTTATTTACTACACATGTAATTCAGCAGTGCAAGATTATGGAAAGTGCACTGGAGTTTCTCGGGAAAAGTAGTATACATGTATTACATCTTTTTTGTCCAGGCTGATTAAAGCCAAGAAGCCTTTTGGAAGTTAACTTTGACCCAAATCTGGTACACCGAGTTCTTTAAATTCACGTGAACATAACAACTTGACTTCTCCATACTAAAACCACTGTTGCTATACCTTTGTGATTCGGGCAAGCTTGTGCTTCAATTAAGAGAAGAATTGCAACAGTACACTATTCTCAATGGACATGAAGGGCACAAAGGAACCAGTCCATTCCAGAGATGGTGGTCACTATGCAAAAGTTTGCCCCGAATCACGAGGTATAGCAACATGGTCTTTAGTCTGGGCAATTCGAATTATGTTTTTTGTGCAATCAGATAACTCAGTGTACCAGATTTTATTCAAATTTAACTCTCAAAAAGCTTATTCCTACGTAAAACTCGAACTAGCCGTTTTCACACATTTCCCACGGATACAGTTGTTATCACCAGCCACAGCCGAGTGACTTTGGAGACGAGGTGTCACGATGCTGAGTTTTTTATTGTCTCACCTTTGGTCTGGCGTAAAGTCGGAGGATCATCAGTGCTATTTCTTTCACTTCGGCCTCATCGGTCCCGAGGAGCCCGTACCACGGAGGGTTGTTGGGCAGAACCACCTGTTGGCAGGAAAACGGCGCAAGATATTCGTCAGGACAGTGGGTCTAATCCACCTAGTTCTGCGTAAAGATCTTTCTCCATTAACCCCTTCGCTACAGAGGACTGCTACTACCGCACCGTTGTGTGAGGATTAGTGCACACCGCACATACAGTCTATTCACCATGCAGCTGCTGGTTCAATGGGGCCTGCTGATGGACAAAGTCCTCCATTCAGGGCATACCACAGCCCAGCAGTCACGGTCAAAATAATCCCGCCGTGAAGAGGTCAATCTGTAGCACCTGGCATGGTGCAAAACCATGCAACTACCACGCAGCAGGAAAAGCACATTACACCTTTCCCACTAATGGGAAATTAACCATACCCCAGGAACTCTGGTCTAGCCTCTGCTCAAGCACTGTTCTGAACTGTACAAATCCACTTACATGTACATAAAGGTAATCAAGTAGGTGACAAAGCCAGGTGTCCGTAGCCATGAAATGACTGTTCACACCCCTCCTTTCATTACCATAAGGGTGAACACACCCGCTCAGTTTGGCTGTAAACAGACCACTTTCAAATAACAGGAATGCAAATATTCTGCAGAAACTGCCCAAGTATCCCCCTGAACCCCCCCCCCCCGACTTACGTTGAGTTGCCTGGCTGACAGGAAGATGCAGGCACAAGCAATGGTCTCGGGCATGAACCTCACGAACACATCGGTGCGTAGACTGTCGTTCATGTAGTTCCTGAAAACAAAACGGCGGCAGTGGTAACACCCGTGGAATTCTGTCACAACTCAACCATTAAGTACACATCAGAGAACCAATCGTATCATTCTTCCGCGGTACCTCATCTCGGAGACGGGCAAAATTTTAAGACTGGTGAACTGAAAAATTTCATCAGGCAGCAAAACAAAATTTCAAATTCGACATAAAGAGATTCTGTAGGTGCCCATGAAAACGTCCTGATATCAACCCGAACAAACCACTTTCAAATCTTACATATTTTTCCACGTCCATTTGTCAATTCGTATCAATGATTACATACATGTAAATGATTTCAATAACCTCCAACAACTGAAAAATTCTACTCCTCCGAGGCTAAAATCCTACATACTGACCTTCCATCCATACCCAAATTGTCCATTTTACCGTCTCTGTCCAAGTCCCCACTGCTCGTCACTCAATCCCATGCTCAAGCCACAGTCCACTGCAGTGACAACTTGTCACTGTCAATCAGTCCAGTTCCTTCTTTTGCCCCGAGGTTCCAAGTGGCCTGCAGCTTTTCCTAGAGTCAATGTGCCACACCTCTTAGGCCGACAGTTTCTCAGCGTTTGTCTTTTGGCCAGCAAGTTCGGGGAAATTGGTGGTGGTTTACTTCTTCCTATTGACTCGTTAGCAGCTTGCATTCAACCTAACTACTTGCGCTACATACATCAATTATACTCGCCTCAGCTTTAACTATTGTATAAATCTGTCTGAATCCAACAAAATTCCACCGGCGGTAAATTCTGGTTGGGTGTTCACATCGGCACCAAAAAAAAAAAAAAAAAAAAGACCTGAACCAAATTTTACAGAGCTGCTTGACAGAAAGTATAGGTGCTGGCACATTTTTCAGCTAAGAACCACTCACAAAAAATAGAGAAAACAGTTTAGGCTAGTTAACTTAATGCTAAGCAAGGTTTTCACAGCAATGAAAACTTATTGTGGGTCTTGTCTTAAATACGCGGCTGCAGCTTGAAATCACGCACGAGACAGTGGTAATGGACACAGCCACTTCCCGTCGAACTGCGTACAAGTGTAAGCCATATTTGCATAGGACCTCACCTTGGCTACGGTCGGCTTTCCTTAGATTGTGACATTCCACAATTTCACACTGTTGAATTGGGCACGGTTTCTTCACAATGCTGATAGTGAGTAGGCGTTTTGTCTTGTCTGCAAAATCAAAGCCTTCTTGATTGGGTCTCTGATCTCGTATCTGAATTTGATCAACAGAGACTAAGCGCATATTTCTGTTTTCAACTGATAGATAAATGCAAATCATGATTCAATGGTTTACCCATGGTGGATTTCTGCTTGACACGCAAACCAAAAAGTGAAATTCTACTCAGATACAATGACGGACATCTAGGGAAAAATGCATAATTGAACAAGGGCCACCTTGAGTTTTTCACCCCTGAAGTATCCTGCACAATCCTTTTAACTTTGTTTATTATCATGGCAACCTCAAGTTCCTTCTTGTTCAACTGTGCATTCTTCCCTTGTGTGAGAGGTTTCACGCTACAAATGCGTTTGACCACAAACTAACGGTTGTTCACAGCACGGTCGATCACAGGCGCAGTTGTAATCCTCAAGCCATTTTCAGACATTAATTGTAGATTCCAGGGATGTTGCAAATAGATTCTCATCAAATCCGAGCACGCCATCTTTCGCCGCTCCCTTTTTTGGGGTCCTGCGGACGGCACTGTTCATGAGGAGTTCCGAGCTGGTAGAATCCATCAAAAGATTGCATCCGTCCACCTGCTACAGGTTGGCTGACCTCCCTCTTCACCACTGCAATTGAAAGTCTCGGACAGAATCAAACTATCCAAGGATAAGCTGTTTGTGCATATCTGTACACGTATTGATTTCCTCTGTCCCTGCTTAAAGCACGTAAGGGAAGATTGGGGAATTGAGCATGCGCTATCAGTTCCTCAGTATGAAATTCCACGGGTATAAAAACGGCAACACGGATCAGATCAACTCGGCTACACATCACAATGGCCAGGGGTTTCATTCTTTGCAAATTCAAGCCGGTAATTGGTGCTGGCTGTGTTCTGGTGGTTTTATCTGAGTTTCTTCTTGGGCTCCTGAGAAGTTCTCTAACTAATGTTACCGTTTTTAGATTGCTCCCATGCTACACGTGGTCTCTAGAGATTCTCGCCCTCTCTAAGCCTACTGGGGGCACACCGACTTTCTTTTCACATGTATCAAATATTTCAAACCTGTCTGGCCTCGCAGACATTTCCTGGGCAAAGCTTTGTGAGGCGTTGTCCACAATCCGCCAGTCCAAGAGTCTCACTGGAAGGTCCTTTGAACAGTCAGTCTTCGAGGACTGTGTAAATAGGGGTGTCTTTTTTTTTCTTCCCTGTACACGGTGAGGGAGAATGGTTGTCACAGTAGTCTCTCCAAGCACAGCCTCACAAGATTTAAGACCTCATCCGACTTTACGGAGCTGGAGAGTAGAGAGCTAACAACCTTCAGGAAGAGAACTGACAAAGATACTCATTACAAAATCGAGTACTCTGTCTGGTAACAAGAGAAAGATCTCAAAAATATAGAAAAGTACACAGTAATCATTAAGAACTCAATAAATACCTGCAACAAAACTCATGGAATTCTGACCTGATCTAACAAATTAATTATACAAGCACCCAAGGACTTGGTCTTTTAAATACGACAGCAAATCAGTTGAAAAAGAGTGCAGTGAACGTTTGTAAATTATCTTCTGATTTATGGGTAGGTAATTGTTTCAAATTGGAACTCTGAGTTTGAAAAAAAATGTATATTAAAGTGTGTATTACAGCTAGGCCTACAGAATGTGTGACTTTTGGTGCTAATTAACTAAGAGGCCGGATTCAGCATCGGATATTTGGAAAATAAAGAAAGTGAAGAAATTGATAGAACTGATCGTGAAACAGAATCATATCTAGATATTGCACTAGTGCTTTCCCCTTTGGAAAACCTCCTTCTACTCTAGATGTATCAACAAGCTGGCAGACGAGCCGACACTGAGCTCCTCGCATGGCACAAGCGACGAAAGTGTCCAGAACTCTAAGGGTCCCCAACTGGACAGATTAATGCAGTGATCGCTGAGAGGCTGGGCTGAACATGGGGTGTGACAGGAGCAGGCTGGATTTCTGGACGTCCCTCCGACACAAAAACACTGAGCCACTTCGAGGGGGAAGATGGCCAGCCGTTCGGATGGACAGACGGACGGATGGACAGTTGGATGGAAGGGCGGATGAAGCCGCTGACCGTCGAGTCTTCCTCGGACATGTCAGCCGGCTACTTCCCTATTAGTGCTACTTACCCCTAGGTACCTTTCTGTAGGGAGGAGATAAAAACGATTGCAGGTTATGATAGGGACAAAAGAAAAACAACGGTGGTCAACTTCGACATCTCGCAAATACATGCGCTTCGCTCATTCACTTGGGATGTGGCCCATTCGGTCAGTGGGATCCAAATTCGATCAACGGAGTGTCCCTGGATTGACATGCCATGCCCATTTTACCCGATCAGTACCACATGCAGTGACTGACTGTAGGGCTCAATAGGAATTGTGACGACCTCCCACAGAGTACAGGCCACAGCATCTTCCCGTATGTTCAGAAAGGTGCAATCTTTTTTTTTTTAGATCTACTACTGGCAATTCCTGGGAGCGAGTGGACAAATTCTGCGATGCATCCAAAAACTTCTCACACAGAGAGAGCTACTTGCGAGATATTTATCACACGGGTAGTCTTCAAAACGTGCTCATCCATGCTTTTATATACACTGAAACCGTGATTTGAAAGATAGACCCTGTGCACCGCCTTTGATGCAGTTTCCTTTAGGTCCAATTGGAGGCCTTTTGACTCGCTCAGCGACTCAGTGACACAACGCAGCTTTTGCATCAAATGATCCCTTCAATTAGCTTGGGATAAGCTGCAACTTTTAGTTTTTCAAATTGAAATAAAAAAAAAAAGAGAGGTGCTGGTAAAAGCCAGATCTCCTCATACAAGAGGCCTTAAATCATCCAACTTCATTCCCCAAACGACGGCAAACAAACACGGTGCACGCGCCTACCGCCAGCAAACCCCTACCGATGGAACTTACCAGGCGGTCTGCACAAGTTGCGAGTTGCGTTCGCACTCCAGCACTTGCAGGTAAGTCACAATCATCTGCAATCGCAACACCGGTGCGAAAGAGACAAGACCAAAATAATGGTTAGCGCTAGCAACTGATCTCGAGCAACCCTACAATGAACAAGATCGACCCTTCTCTCCGAGGCCCACGGACGAGGCACCACAACCTGGTTAAAAAAAAAAAAAACCTGCTTCAAGGGAATATAATTGTTAGTGAGATGTTTCCATGTTCATCACTATCTGCGACTCCTGGAACAAACTAGGTGATACAGCGCAACAGTATTTTAAGTATTTTTAGCAAGAGGAACATAACATTTGAATTTTTCACGATGAATGTCATTTTTACTTGAGGCTTTCTTCTAGTCCCAAAGCTAAATGATTTTGCGGAAAATCTTTAAAACACCAAAGAAAAGTGGTACTTCTTCTGGCAAAATTTCGCCATGTACGGTGTCACTTCCTGTTTCAGCAAAATCTCTTGACTAGGCAAAGTTTGGCAATCCCAATGATGCTAAGAGAAGTTCTTGGCATCATTGTCTTCTGCAACGAAATACACAAAGGGAAACACCTTCACAACAGGGCTGCATACGATGGTGCTTATTTTAGGAAGGTTACTAAAAAAATACATTCCCCCACCATAAAATTAAAATTTCTTTCAGTGCAGCATGGAATCCGTGTTGCAAACCTTCTAGACCTGTGAAAGGGGAATATTGCGACAAATTCACACATCACTCTGGCTAAACAATGCTGGAAAAGAAATTAAGACATTAACTCGAATGAAGGTAAAGTGTTACAAGGAAGAAAGTCACGGAGCAGTAACTCACATTCATGTCATTTGCCTGGGTGAAACGGGACACCCGAGGGTGTCTTGAGGAAAGATACCAACCTTGTGCGGGTGCTTGACGTGGACACAGAAGCCCAGCTCCTTCAGGACCCGGCGTTCTGCCTTGATGACCTGGTTTTTCATATTCAGGTACTTCTGGTCTAGGACCATGGGCTCAATCGTCCTGCAGCAGGGAAGAAATTTTGCGTTTCTGGGCTCTTGCACCTCTGTTTCAAATACGTGCGATATTTCACAGGGGGATAAATATGCGATATCGTGGCATTTGGACCATCAATTTCACAAGAACAGTGAACAGTGAATTGTTGGGCAGAATGGTTCTGTGTTTTTTCCCCCAGCAGCATCTCTTATCCCAACACAAGCAAAAAACTTTATCTCAAAACAAAACCCAGTCCAAACTATTAGACAAAAAAACAGAACAAAAGCATTCTTGCTGTGTTGTTGAAATAAAATGTTTTGACCTCAACAAAAAATTACTTAAGGTTGCCTGGTAAATCTTTGAATCTTTATTGACAGCAAAAATGCCTCGAGGAATCAAATGTTTTCATGAAAAACGGGGGAAGAGAATCGATTCTCAGTACGACTTTCAGACTCGCAATCCCACTATTTTTCCCTCTAAAGGTCGTCATGCATGTCATTTGTTGCCTACCATGCTCATATCCGGAGCATGATTCTACTTTTTCAGAGCCTCAGAGAAATGCAGGATTATCTTAGAGATTGGAGCAGTGCAACAGGGCCTTTAAAGGGAAAGTGGGCCTGAGGCAGTCTTGTCCCTTGTCACAGAGCAGTGGTACTTCATGCATGAAAATAATGTAAAACCCGGGGAGGGTCTGGTCATATCAGGTCCAAGGAAAAAAACCCAGACGTGGGCACTACCACATACAACAACGAAGCCAGGTGCCAAGTGGACTCTTTGAGAAGAGGGGGAAAGGGGCAGAGGGGTCACTGGCACAGTGGATGGCAGCGACAAGTGTCCCAGAGTGAGTGTGTCTGAACGTCCTGCAATGCCCCCAACCCTTGCCTGTGGCTTCCCCTTGCCGGGCGGGCCGGATGGGGGGATTAACGACCGCAGCGAGTCGGGCGTTGTGTGTCTCAATGGGCAGGCAGGCTGCGTTGTCCGCTGTGGGAAACAACCACAGTGAAGGAAGAAAGGAGCGTTATGTACAGCCTGAGCACAGGGTCCTAAGCTGAGTTGTACAAGTGCATGAGCTGGTATCAGGGTAAAGCCTACATTTGGGTCACCAGTGCGGCGGTCAAATCCACCACGAGTCCTCCAATTTCCAGTCACAAGCTCTTCAGATGAAATGTGTCAAAGCGCTCCTTTGTCACAGATCACCATTATTTGTGACTTGTCTTGTGGGAGGGCTTATGGGTGGACTTGTGAAATGACTTGTAATGGAATTCACCGCAACACCGAATGTTATGAATTGTAAATTGTAGACAGAAAGAGAACAGCGTTTCAAGTCAGTTAATGTCATCACTATATTTAAAATGCTTCAATGAAAATGAAAGCGACTCCAAAGTGAAGTATGTCCTCTTACTCTGACCAACAAGGTAAGGTAATCATTTTAAAGGTTTCAAAAATGCTCTGGAAGTGAAATGATAACAACCAAATGCCACAATATCAAAGCACAAAAGTATTTAAACACATTGCTAAAAAATACTTAATCTAACAAACAAAACTTGGAATGTCTGTAAAGAGAATGACTTTGATAAAAAAATTAGAAGAGAACCATTTTTTTTCACAAGACAGAGTAACACCTTTTAAAAAGGGAAATAACACATATAACTGACCCCAGGGTCCCTGGCCTCAACATTTATGCTTTAGCTACGTGTACATGTATTCAAGTTTACATGCTAATCCCCCCCCCCTTATGAAATTGGCAACTGCATACATCAACTTGTAACACATGACACGTCTTGTCTCATCAACCATTCCTTCATTCCACTCACTTTTCATTTTCTTCCACATTCTTCAACTTATTCCACTTTCATGACAACTTGTGACAAAAAGTAGTCTACTTACACCGTGCTTTCACAAAATTTCCCCCAAACGCACCTGTTCTCTTGGCTTACCTGTTGTTTCTCTTTTGCCGAATGTGGTGGAATACATTAATCACATCACGGATGCGACGCGGTGCTTCCTCAATTTTTGAGGCGAGGTTAATGCAGGCCATTGCTACTATCTGGAGAAAAGAGAACAGAGTTTGAGTGCAGTGCACTGATACAACACACAAGAAAATGGAAAGTGAATTTCTTTCGTAGAACTCAAACACATGTACATGCTAACCAGTGGCCACTGAAGTACCGTTTCCCGTTACGATTTTGATAGATTACACGATTTCCAAAAATTAATGAAAATCAAAGATGGAAAACTGAACTACTAGAAATAGCCTTACCTCCATGTTGTGCTTGACAAACGACTTGGAATAGTAAAACCGTTGGAAGAGAACTTGACCAGTTGCCATGGCAACCTGCCACAAGAACGGGAAATTAAAAACAAAGCTGTAAGTGCCAAGTTGGAACTGCTTCAAAGACAAACGTGCCTGAAAATCTTGGTTTTCACTTTTTCCCCCATCAAACTGCCTTCATCACGATGAACACGATGGAGGTTTTCTGATGTAGGCCTAGGGTCTATGACATAAACATGAGCAAACAACTTAGGTCTATCCTTAATCAATATCACGAGTCATGTTAGTTCCTAAGCTAAGATCAGCCTGTATGAAGATACAAGGACAACGAGGAGGTGGAGTACTAGAATTCATGTCTGTATGCTTGAGAACAAATACAATTTTATAAAAAAGTGACTAGTTTAGCCTTAGGCCTTCGCACTTGGGCCTCCACATGTTACAAACTGCAGTAAGAAAGTCATGGCCTAGACTTTTTTGTCAGGGACCATTGTGTGCACGAGGTCTAACGAGGTCAATCATAGCCGTGCATATCCGAGTTCATCCGGCTTGCATGGCATGTCCTTGCCCCACACGCTGTAGTGGCTCTCTTTTACAATCTGTCTCATCTGTCACCACCACGGCTCTACTTCAAGGCAAGTCTTGAACGCCTGAAATCCAAACTGCAGGATTGTCACAAACTTTGAATCCTAATATCTTCCGAAATAAGAATGACTTGACAATTTAACTTACACCAACGTATTCCTCAGAGTTTGGACTTTTATATGAGCCCCCCAAAGCTTTCCAAAACCATATTTTCCGATGTACGGCGCCTTGAAAAACGCGGCCTGTGATATTTATAGGCTGACCATGGGTGGCGCGCACTTTGCTAGAGTACAGTATGCCCACAGCACGTGTGTGGAGCAAGATGCAGTGACATGCATATTTGTGCTATTTAAATTCAATTTCACTGGTTCCTTGTTCGTCTGTCACGCAAGATGTGACGGAAACCGGTTTTGTATGGTACAACCTATCCGGTTTGTAAGTGACTTCGTCACAAAGGTGGACGCACCAAGATTTGCAAGTTCCCATTGGACAATCACTTAAGTTACATGTTAACTTCCAGTTCCATGGTTCCATGTAAACAGCGATCAATGCATGTAAACCTATGTGCTGTGCAGTGGGCGTGGTTTAAACTGAAGTGACATCACACTTATGAACTGGATACCAGAATACCAGAGCGCCTGTCGGGTGCCTTGAAATCCGACGCAAGAAGCGCTGCTTTCTTTTTTAAAATGGCGCCACCCATGGTAAGTATGTAAATATCACAGGCCAGGTTTTTCAAGGTGCCATACATCAGAAAATATACTGTTTTGGAAAGCGTTATGGTAATCATTTAAAAGGCCAAACTCTGAGGAATACGCCGGTGTAAGTAAAATTGTCGAATCATTCTCATTTCGGCATTTATTTTATTAATTTAGGCCTATATTATTATTTATTCGGCCATTCAGAACAGGGAAAGTGGTAGGACAATATTCAACCAACATAAAAATCAATGGACTAAGCAAAAGGGCATTAGGCCTATAAATAACAAGAACCCATTCCTGGTCAGAATTGATAAAAGTATACTTAAGACTTTAAGTCTTAAAAACTATGACCCGAACATGCCAAAGGCATGGTAAATAGGCCTAGGCCTAATCATGTATTGTAAATGATTAGGCCTAGATTCAAATGTGACAATCCTGTAGTTTGGATTTCAGGCATTAAACTTTAATTCAAAGACATGCCTTGAACTTTGAAGTAGGGCTGTTGTGACGACAGATAAGAGACTGATTGTAAAAGTAAGGGAGCCAATACGGCCCTACGCGTGGGGCCAGGCACGTCCGGGTTCGAGTTTGTATTGTGCCTGCCCGTCACGCGTCTTTCTCATGCATTCAAAACCACGTCACCTGCGGCAGTCTCAACAGGATTCCTGCCGTCTGAATGAACTCGCATCCTAGCACTCGTAGATTCATCTCAGTCTCTGAATCCAGTCCATCTCGAACAGAAGGGGTGGGGGCCAATTTCTCTTGAGGAATGACACAATTTTCGAGCGTTATAAGGACATCTCCGTAGGTTTTTGCTGGCGTCGTCGCAGGTTCTTTCTTCACGTCCGCCATTTTGTAAAAAACGAAAGAGTAACGATATAACATAAATATGCATGATGCTCGTGAATGGCAAACCGAAAATAGTTCCAGATATTATTGAAATTCGCCCATTTCTAGCATTTTAACCATCAAAGATAAATATTATCCATTGATAATGCATCAAGAGAAAGCTTAAAGCCCCTTTCGAACGTAATTGATAAATATCTTAAAATATTTGGGATGTTGGAGCCCTATTTTTTCTTGAACTGAGGTACGCGCTCTTGTTCACTGCTTCAACGCACATTGCGTGCGTGGTAACCATCGTATGAAAAGTTACAACAAAGGTGTTGAAGTACCAGCTACATTACCGCGAAATATGACGTCAGAAAACCACCAATCAATCAAAATTTTAAAGGGACAGTCCAAACTAAACGTGCAAACCATGAAGGATGCAATCTGCTATATCTAGTGAAAATTTCTAGTCAGTTTATTAGTTGGTCCCCAGAATGGTGAAATTGTGTACATCTTTGCCAGGATGAACTCCCTGGGTCTTTGGGCTTTCATCTGAGAGCAGAACGTCTGAAAAGTACAGTTGAAAAATGGTCCTAAGTGTCCCGAAAGTTGACGGTTGCCACTTGAAAAATAGCTGCAAGCAGACTTCGGAAAAATCACTTCTCGGGGCGTGATTTTGTTTCGTGGGAATAATTAAAAATGTAATCTGTTAAAACATGGAGGAAGGAACACATGTTTAAAATAACCCATAGAAATCTGACAAGAACTTGGAAAATTAGGGACCATACGATAATTTGACTTGTTTCGGAATCCTCAGGGATGTTGGTATTCATGTTATTCGTCCCTGAACAATGCCGATTTTACACGGTTTTCGACGGGGCTAGAGTTAGTGGACTACACCCTGAAGGTATTTGGAGAGACATGTTGGAAGCTGCTTCAAAAGACGGCGATGGACAAAGTCGACTGGAAACTCATGGAAAACAATGGGACTTTTTTCTTCAGACTTACTACTGAGTTATTGTAAAACCTTGCAAAATGGGTTTGCATTTCTTTAGTAAGCACCCCTTGCTCCTAAAAAATGCACAGTAAAACTTCAAACAACCATAAATGGAAATAACCACAGGAATCAAAGAGACAGAATATAAGACAATTTTTGTTCTATCTTTAATTCAGATCGAAAGAACTGTAAATGCTCTTCCATTCACTGAAGTGGGGGTCAATTACACATCCCTTGTGTACAAAATCCTAACTTTGGAAAGCTTTTGTTGCAAAATGAATGACCCAGCAAGTCATTTGGTTACTACTGTAGCGTTCTAAATCTGGTAGTAAGAAACTTTACAAGAGCATTTTTTTTACCACTAAGGAATAAGAATTACTCATCATGTGGGATTTTTTTTTAGGGGGGGAGAAATGTTCAACCAAATGAGGCAGATTCTCCAGGGCCATGTTTGCATCTCAACATGCTTCACCAAGCTTACATTACGAGTGAGTACATGCACGTGTCCCAATGCAGAGTATCAAAATCTTAAATTACAATTTTTAAAGAGGCTTTTTAGTCTATATACAAAGAAATCTAAGTCGGGCTGGGCTAAGTCAGTTGGTTAGAACTGGACTGCTTGTTGTCGGCGCCTAGCCTGAGTTTCTTGACGGACTCCAGCAGGTCATCTTGGCTGGTTTGCCTCAGCAGCACCTTGTCCGGGTCGGCTCGGACAGCAGCGAGCAGCCCCTCCTCGTGCTTGGCCTTCCCCAGCTCAGCCAGACACTGCGGGAAAACCCAAAGCAACACAAAAACTGAATTTTGAGCAGAGCAAGACCACTGGGCCCAATTTGGATTCGTTTTGGAATTCATGGACCAACCCTGTTAAAGTTTTTCAAGTGTGAGCGAACCTACATAACTAAACTTTTACACGAAAAAGAACAGTGTCTATAAATAACCTGGTTATCATTTGAAGCTAAGCTTTAGGAAAACATTGTTTTTGGATACATATTCAACTTCAAGCAAATTCTTTGGAAACAGTAGTTCACCGAAACAGGATTAAGAAATCTTTTGATGATATAGTTTTGAGCTTTAGTTTGACTTCACCATATTTCAGGAGAAAAAATGGTTGCTCATTGGAGATGGATAGTTTATGTATTAGAGGGTTTAATCGGGCTGTGCTGAATATCCGAATATTTGATTGATTATAGAACATTTGATTCTTATTGTTTGTATTTGAATATTCCAATGCAAAATTCATGAAAAAGAAGGGAGAATTTTCTTTTTCAAATGAGAAGATCACTCTGTGGAGGCTCGTTTCAAGCAGATTCCAGACGCTCGAAGGCAGCTGATACGCCCAACACCAATATAGAATCCATCCTAGAACATGGAAATGGCTTGATTGAATGCGCCAAGATATTATTCCTTGTCAAAATGATGTAAACTTTGTTGAAATAAAATACGACGATTGACAATGTTTCAACTTAAAATTGAATGACTGGAGGTCCGAAGAGGAAGATGGCCGCATCACACGAAATTATAAGTGGTCTCTCGGCAACCACAAATTGTGGTGTCAGAGACTTGTTTTATTGCAACAATAAATCTCTGCTAAATTGTGGCTGGAAATAGTCCTAAAAAGTGAGAAGCTATTACAGTGATTATAATGTACAATTGTGTGTGTTATTGCGACTGATTTTGTATATGGTTTGTTCATCGACAATCTGCCGGCCAGGACGACCAAATATTCATATATTTGAGCAAATTGAGGGTCGAATACAGGAACAGTCAATCATTCAAACTGACTCAGGCCTAGGGTTCAACAGCTTTGCCGCAGTTCAGTCACTTGCCAAAGAAAGTCTGGTTTTTGAACCTGAGAACGTCTTACCTTGAATGTCTTAGGCTCTGTAATTGCTAGGCTGGCCAGAGACTTGCGATCCAGTTGAATATTGTACTGTTAAGAAAAAAAATTAATTCCATGCTTAAATTTCTGACTGGGAAAAAAAAAATATGTATCTGTGAATTTGAAAATTTGAAATTTTTTTCAGCATACTCTGTGCACATCTGAAAATTCGCCAGGCTAAAATGATTAATTTCTGGAGCTAACACCTGACTTCTCCATTACTATGTACCACAGGTTCATTCAGAACCACATTTGGGGGAACACAATTTCTATTCAGCAGGACCAAAAAAAACCCGGAAAAATGGAGGATTGCTGTATGTGACTAAGGCTTATATGGACTTTCTTAGGGCTGAGGCTAAATTTGGGGGCTTTTTACACACTTTGGGAAGAAAAAAAAAATGACACAGCCCCTACAACTGCCTTTCTCTCTCTCACATGTTAGTGTTTTCTGTCACTACTGAGTTCTACTTTAAAATTACTTTTATTTTCACTTGCTTTCTGTTTTATTATTTATACTTTTTCTTTTTCTCTTTGGGTTGGGTTCCCTGTCTTCATATGTGTAAATGGATATTTTGTCTTTTTGCATGTTTTCTTTGACCATTTGTATTGGTGAATTTTGTCTAATTTTATTTTAAAATGATTTTAACGTGATGGCTCCTTCGGAAGCAGATTTGTTTAGAATGACATGGACTACCCTCATTAAAGATTACAATGAAATGAAATCAATAAAAAAAGGATGGGGGTTAGAATCACCCTCAGTCTCACTCTCTGATGAGACTAAAGTGTTGAATTTAGGAACATGCGCATTTCCTCCCACATAACATTTCTTACACTTTTGTTTTACCTTCAGGAGGTTGGCCATGAAAGGGTTGTAATGCAT